TTAACTTAATTTCTGCATATAACTAAGTACATTTTGTCCCGTATGTGCGTAGCAATAGGCAGTAATTAATTTAAGTTTGTAATGTTACATACTAAAATCATGTTTTTGAAGTATAAGATTGTRTGAAGAGAAATGATTTTGAACAATTTTTGCTTTATTTCATGGTTTGTATAGTTACAAAATAGTTGTTTTATTGATGTTAACTATGATATAAGGCAATAGGAAAAAGTACCATTTTTGTAGGAGGTTGTATACCCGGGGAGGGGACTCCGGGGAAAAAGTACCGGGGATGCTCCTTGTATCTCTTAGGGGTAAAAATTCGCGATTTAGTATCTTTTAGGGTGTTAAACGTGAATTAGGGTTAGGGTTAGGGTTAGGAGAGAAGGAGAGAAGGAGAGAAGGAGAGAAGCGTGCATCAATATGGCTTATCCTAGGCGCTTCTTATCCAAAATTTAATATTATTTGTTGTGGTATCTCTTAGGGGTTAAAAGTCATTCAGCCACGCCCTTTTTCAAAGACTTCCGATATCTTTTAGGGGTATTATTGAAAATTTCCGACGAGCATCCCTGGTACTTTTTTTCCCCGAGTCCCCCCCCCCCCCGGGGCTGTATGTACTCATGGTATGGTGTTGGTGTGTATGACTATTTGTAGCATGTCAATGTTTAAAAAAGTATAAAAAATTCCGTTTATTGGTGCAGATTATTGAGCGTTCAAAACTGTGCTAGTGATGATAAAGTTTGGTTCAGATGAATCTAGTCTAGTGCACTTGGTACAGCCAATCAATTTAGAACCTTAAATGACAGGCAGTAATATGTTATTATTGAAGCCTATTGAAGTATTATAGTTATGCCTTACTGCTGTTTGCATTACTACGCGGCAACCCCAGACACAAATCGCGTCGTGTAGTTTGCAAYAGACTGCCGTCAATCAAACACCTCATTTTACTTGGATGTACTCAAACTCTTTGCAATCACTTTCAGAACTTTCCTTCGTGATATCTGACTGAGAAAGTTTGATAGAAAAGCCAACTCACTGATCCAAACGTGTATAAATGGCGTCAACATGAATGATTGACAGTTTGATAGAAAAGCCAACTCACTGATC